GTGTTATCTTTCACATTTAAGTCCTTGATCCACTGGGAATTTTCTAAGGTATATGTTGGGATACAATTTCATTATTTTTTCCTCACCTACTTATCACAGTGCCATATATTAAAAATGAATATTCTTTTCCTAGAGATTTGCCATATTGAGTAGATCTGTTTGAGGATACTCTGCTCTGTCCCTCTGGTAGTTTTCACATCTCTCAGCCCACTTTCAGAGGCCTGATTACTATGACTTTAAATACAACTTTGTATAGGGGGAGGAATCTCTCCCACCTCACTACAGATATCCTTGACCTTCCACACTTTCATCTATATTCTTCAAAAGACATACTGGGATTTTGGCAGGGATTGCATTAAATCTATAGATGTTAACAAGAAGATTCACATATTCATGATAATCTACTTACCCACGTATATGTATGTCTATTTCTTTAATGTCTTCTTCTAAAATATTATCTGTAAATAAATTCTTTTCATAAAGATCTCGGGTATCTTTAGACTTATTGATACTTTATACTGTCACTATTGTATTTTTTTAATATATCTTCTTTTTGTTACTTATCAATAATAATTCTGATAATACTTCATACATAGTTGAAAATAATTAAATTTTGGTTTCCTTACAAATCTTTAGTTTTTATTTACATTTCTTGTCTAAGTCATTTACATTTACTTCTTGTCTAGTGTTAGTCAGATAGCAAATTATTAGCCCTCCAAAACTGTTAAACACTCTTGTCTTAATTCTAACAACTCACTCTTACGAATGTAATGTTCACCACAGGTTTTTTGTAGATACTTTTATCAGTTTAAAGAAATTCTCGATCTATTCCAAGGTTTTTAAGAATGAACATTATGGGTCCTCCCTGGTGGCGCAGCAGGTTAAAAGCACAGCACTAAGAAGCCAAAGCCACTTCCACATGAGTTCGATCCCTGCCTGCCCCAGAGGTGACCACATGGTGTGGCAGACCTCTCCTGACCCACCCACTGCTCCCCTCAGCAATGTACTTCGTCCATCTGCCTGTTCTGCTCCCACTCTGTCTCTGGTAAAGCCTCTCGCTGCTCCTGAGCCTCTAGCCTGTACCCCAGTTCTGTGTGCACAAATAAATAAATCTTTTTAAAAAAAAAAAAGAATGAACATTATGACTGAGTATCAATTTTGTTTCTGCATCTATTGAAAAATTATATATTTTTCAGTTAATATACCAGTTTCTACACTTATTCTGCATTTGATCATCATCTTTCCTTTCTATAATTTCTCTTCGAATCTTCCTGCCTTCTGTTCTAGACTTATACTCTCTATTCAAGATTTTCCCTTCAAAATTATTCTATTCCCTCCATGTCAATCCTGGGGGTTGGAAAGGAGAGGAGAGGAGAAAGGGAAGGAGGAGTAGTTCAGCGATAGATCTGTCATTAACAAATATTTGAATAAATAAAAAATAAAATACCAAAGGAGTGCCATGTAGTTGAGGTTATTTACTCAAAGTCTTCAAATGTAACATGTTTATTCACATAAATTTTCTCGTTTGGAGCTTAAAAATACAGCTATCTGCAAAGCAGACACTTAGAGGCAGATGCCATTAGCATATACTTTTTCAACTGAAATTGTTTCACACACCTCAGCACCCAAACATCAGAAATCATTTAACATGTCAGACACTATCTATGTAATGGAAATGCAAATAAGAAAGAGCACTTGTTCACAGAATTTACCATGTAATGGGAGACAGACCACTTAGTACCTAAGCAGGCACAGCAGAAGCATCACAGGAGGTTAGCCCCTAGCCCAGACATCCAGGGGTGTTAGTACAGGAGTTTTCTGAGAGGAAGTATATAAGGGGGTTGGTGACTTGGGGTTCAGAAGTTCTCTAACTTGTGGTCTCTAAGTTACTACATCTCTAAGTAATTTGTCCTAGTGAATTAGGACTGTGGTTCTATGAGGAAAGCACTATAGTCCAACAGTATGGAAAATATGAAAAATGCATTCCCCATATCCTGCTGCACAGCCTATACACGCACACATGTGTGGCTCACACAGCAGACTACAATTTAAAAAAAAAAAGTCCAGGTTTTCTCCAGGTATTTTGAGAAATGAATGTGGAAATGGCTACAAAACAGGTTCCTCACTTTCTTGTTCAAAAAAATACTAAGGGTACAAAATGGATTTTAGAGTCCTCAATATGATTTCCTTTGACTACGGAAGAGATAGGTGACCCTTTAGAAAGAAGAGGGAGTCAAATGTAAGAAACAGCAAGAGGCCTAAAACAGAACACTACAAAGATTTTTCAGTAATCTGGGTCAGTCACCACAGCACAGAATTATGAGCTTAAACTGTCTGTGTTTTCTCCCTATTAAGAAAAAAGGAGGAGGAAGGGACCCATTTCATATTTGCTAAGTGATGCATCTAACTCTAATAGCTAAAAGATCCCTTCTCAGATTACATCAGGGGGAAGAGAAGCCTAATGGAGTATGAAATGGGGGAGGAAAAAAACAAATTGATGCTCTCAATTCCTGGAAGGATATTTTGCATCTGTGTTTACAGCCTCCAAGACACAGCAGTTCACCTATCAAACAGCACCCCATGGCATTCATCAACTCCCCAGACTCAAGCCCCCACCGAACCCAGCTCTGGCTTCATGGAGAGGGCAAAGCCCTAGTTACTTCACAGCTGTACCAGGGAACACAGAAGGTGACAGCAGGAGGGATTCTCTTGAAAGACAGCACAAATGGCTTTCACAAAAATCAGCTTTCTTTTTTCATGGGCTTTACATGATTCATCAGTTATGACATATGCTGAGCTCTAATTCGAAATCAAACAAGTTCAGAGGAGCACAGAGGTAATAATTGTAAAAGATGGGCAGAGATGGCAGAGGTTTTATCCTGAAAAGGGAAAACAGAAACAGAGGAAGTAGCCAGCATTTCCTCTCAGATACTGAGGGTCTGAGGAGAGCTGAGGTAGCTGGGATCCAGACCCACAAAAGTGTGCAGGCCCTGGCTGCCATGGTGCCAAACTGCCAGCCACAGGTTTCATCAACATCCCCTTTCTGCCACAGTTGAGAGTAGCAGCAGCAGCAAGAAGAATAAATGCATTACAATAGCTTCTTGGTCGCTGAACATGGGAACATGGTTACAGACTCAGAAAGCAATCAAGGTGGGGGTAAACGCCTTTGGAATATATCATATCTAGCCTGGACATTCAGTGTATGAGATGCCCTCATGTAGAAACACTCCTCCCCAAACTTTTTTTTTTTTTTAGTATATAATCTAAGAATCATGGCAGAAATGTCAGTTTTTAATCAAGGCTCTTTTCCACATTTCTAACAATGAGGGTCCGGGTTCCCTTATAGAAGCATGAACTTGTGGCAAAGAAAACCAACTGATGCTGGTTCCAGTCACAAAGTGGAAGCCCCGACACACTGCAGGAAGCCTGGGCTCTGACTTTAATCAGCCAAAAGACATGAGCAATTAAGCCTAACTTCTCTGTCTGTGAAATGAGGAGGTGGAACTAAATGAATGGTAAAGGGTCCATCTGCTCACCCCACCTATCTTAAGGGTTTTCAGGAACAAAGCACCCTTCCAGGTACCTCTCAAAGGTTGTTAAGCTGCCCTTTGTTATCTTTCCAGTGATACCCAAGTGTGAAAAGTGGCCACAAGTCAATGGAAGAGATAAGTAAACAGAGACAGCTCAGGAAATTACAGTCATATATTTGATTAAACCAACAGCAACCAACAGAGACCATGTCTTATTCATCTTCAAATGCTCCTTATCCAACACAGTCCAGGCACCTGACTTAAAAAAAAAATGTTCTCTACATGCATTGCAGACAACTCCCAGCTCTTCAGGATGTAGGCCCTCTTTGTAAAGAAGTCATTAAATTGTACGACTGGTGTCCTGAGAACAAATCTACACAAAGAGGGAAGTTGACCAGAAGACCCATAACTAGGAGAACCATCTACCAGCTAAAGACAGGAGCTGGACCACCGTCTCCCTCACAGTCCTCCAAAGGAACAACCCTTTTAGTGCCTGGATATCAGACTGCAAGTTCAGGAGCTGTGACACAGTGCATTTCTGTCATTTAAGTCATCCAGTGCATGGTACATTATCACAAAAGCCCCAACACACCAATTCATGTCCAAAAGTAGAGAGAATTGTATTATGAAACACCCCATCATATTCATCACCCAGACCTTTCACACGTACTTACTACCACTAATTACTCCCAAATTAATAATTTTTAAAAGATTTATTTATTTTGCTTACAGAACTGGGGTACAGGCCAGAAGTGTGATGGATGAGAGGATTCACCAGAGGCAGAGCGCGGAGCAGAACAGGCAGACTGACAAAGTACACTGCTGAGGGGAGCAGGGGGCCAGGCAGGAGAGGTCTGCTACGTGGGTCCGCTCCCTGGCTGGGAATGGAACTTGTGCAGCAGTGGCTTCGGAGAGCTTCATAATGCAGTGCTTTAACCCCTTGCGCCACCAGGGGAGCCCCCAAATTAATCATTTTAAGGCAAATTCAACTCATAAGGGGAAATACGTCTTATACTAAAACACGTATTTATGCAAAACTTTTTTCCATTAAAGCTTAACAGTATTAAAACAGAATCCCAACCTTGAATTTTCACAGATAAAACAATCAGGGTGAGCAGACTAAGAGCAATTCAATTCTTTAATTAGTTCTTATTCAACATATTTTCAGATAATAAAAACTTACTTTACATCATGAAGTGCAAGAAAATAAAGGAGGAACATAGTATTCAAACCCCTCTTGCTGGCAACTTAAAATCTATTTTTCAAGCTAATTCCAAGAAACTTAGCAAATGTCTTGAAGTCACTAATTAACAACAACAACAAAATACATATATATATGTATATGTATACATATATATATATGCGCAGCAGTATTTAATGTTAAATTTCACATATTTTAAGAACCCAAAAATTCTCATAGCAATACTCAAAACCTCTACAAGAAAAAAATAAATAAACCCAAAACTATACCTTGACAAAGTATAAGTTGTTGATTGTTTTTTCTGAAACTTTAGATTGGAGTTCCCAGCTCTTCAATAATCGCACAGCTTCCAATCACATGTCCTCTTCAAAAAAGTAAATTTTGGGCTAATACAAAGAGAAATACTAAAGTCAGAATTTGCTTACTTACAAGTATTTCAAAAGAGTCTTTTGAAATGCTGTTCGCTCCATCAACTTTCAAAATCAAGTATCTCTGCAAAACCCACAATCTAGCTAATTAGCCTCAGCTGTTGGTCATATGGCCTCAAACCAGTCAAGTGACTGCCCCGGTTCAAGCCTGTGGAATCCCAATGGTGCTGGCCTCTCAGGGAAAAGGAGGCTTTATTAACTTCTTCAGTGTTAGAAGTACTTCAGCTGTTTCTTTTCCCCCAATTACAAAAGCTGAACTTTTTTTTTTTTTGAGAAAACATCTCTAAATGTATCATAGTCTCAAGATTCTTGAAAGTTATTCTATTATTTCTTTACAAATGCATCGTCCGATCCAAACAACCCAAGAGGTGAAATGGAAGTGCCGGACAGGATGGGGCCAGACCACCAGCTCCTGACCTCCAAATCCATAAGGGAAACTGTCTATTGGGTCCAACCAGGTATCTTATTGGTATGTCCTGCCCTCAACTCACTTGGCTTTGCTCTTCTCCCTGAACCCTCTTCAAATCCACTTCTCTTCCTATGTTGTGAGCAACACAAGCACAGCACACACCCAACCAGAAATCAACTCCTCCCTCTTTTCCCCTTCTATTTCCAGGTTCTAGGGACTTTCCTCCTCTTGCCTCTATTCCCAGTTTTTAGCACCTCTCATCTGGGATGGCTTTAGCCACTTATTTGGTTGTCTGATCTATTCTCCATACAGCACCCAATGCCATCTTTCTAAAAGCAAACCAGAATCCATCACTGTCAATGACTCCGCACAACCTCCACAATATCTATTTAGGCTTCTGCCTTTATATCACCTGCTATTCCCCACCTTCTGACTTCAGTTCCCAGAACTAATTGCAATTCTCTACATACCAGTAGTTTTATGTGAGATCAGCATATCAGTATCACCTGGGAAATTGTTACAAATGCACATTCTTGGGTGTAACCCAGGCCTACTGAGTAAGACAGCCTAAGAATGGGCACAACTGTCTGTGTTCTAACCAACTCAGTAGCTGATACTGATAAATGCTAAAGTAAAACCAAGTAAACTCACCAGGTTCTGCCTCTGATTCCTTTAAAAAAAAAAAAAAAAAAAGACTTACTTATGCATACAATACAAGAACGGGGTTAGAAGCCAGAGGTGTGAGCCAAGGAGGGATGAGAGGAATCATCAGAGACAGAGCAGGGAGCAGAACAGGAAGATGTACTGAAATACACTGCTGACAGCAGGGAGCAGAACAGGAAGATGTACTGAAATACACTGCTGAAGGGAGCAGCAGGCAGGTCAAGAGAGGTCTGCCACACCAAGTGGATCACCCCCTGACCAGGGATCAAACTCATTCTGCAATAGCTACAGCTAGCTTCATAGTGCTGCACTTTAACCCACTGCACCACCAGGGAGGGCCCATGCCTCTGATTCCATCTACTGCTAGCAATGCTGAGTTAGACACCTCTTTTCCTTGCTTTCTCTTTCCTAGAATTGGTCAACCCTGAATAAAATTACTGGTTTATCCTGAAAGCAGAATCATATTTTAATTAATTCCATCATTTACAAAAAACTTACCTGTCTCCGGGGTATTTGCTGGGCTTAAAGCTAATCTATCCTGCAACTCTAGGTGAGTCCAAACTGTGACTGAAGACTTAAACTATCAAATCTATAATACCCCATCACCTACCTCAAGAACTATGAGCCATTAAAAAACCAATCGAAGACATCTCATGGTAAATGACAGAGAACTTTTGGTTTCCATCTCTTGGACAACCAAGCACAGCACCTGCAGATTCACTATAGATTTGAGCTGACGGACAGAGTCTTGGAACCCTCAATAGATTTGACAAAACTTTAATGCTGAAGCAGGGGACCAGGCACAGGCAGATCAGCAGGTGAGCAGGCAGCGGAGAGAAGGACCGGGAGGTTGGCAGCAACTGAGTGCCCAGCCCCTTCAATCTCCATGTTCTCTCTCAGTCTCCCCCAATCTTATAATAATCTCTCCCAGTCATGTCTGTATCTAAAGGCTTGCATGCCCCATGCTCTCTTGCTTCTTGGCCCTGGTGCCCATAACTAAAGGCATGCGTGCTCCCCAAAAGGGGAGGTCTGAAGATAAATATAATTCTGCTTTCAGATGTGTACTCTCAGCCCAGCTGTCTATGCATGCCCTGTGCTCAAGCTCCTTTTTGCACCAATATAATATCGCATGTCAAAGAAACAGAGAAAAGCAAGGCCGCAGCAAGAAAGTGAAAAAAGACTGATTTTTCCCTACACAATCTGATGCCAACTTTGATGTACAGAAATGGTTTATTTGGGGACAGGATATATTTTCATGAAAACTTATATATCCCCCTTTTTTATTTCCCAGATTAAAACTGATTAGAGTTGGCCCTCCCTGGTGGCGCAGTTGGTTAAAGCACAGCACTAAGAATCTAAAGTCACTTCAGCAAGAGTTCCAACCCCACCCGCCCCAGAGGTGATCCACGTGGAGAGGCAGACCTCTCCTGGCCTGCCCGCTGCTCCCCTCAGCAATGCATTTCATCAGTTGGCCTGTTCTGCTCCCCACTCTGTCTCTGCTGAATCCTCTCACCACCCCTGCACCTCTGGCCTGTACCCTAGTTCTGTATGCATAAATAAATAAATCTTTTAAAAAATTGATTAGAGTTTATTCTAATTACATTAGAAACTGAGTAAAGCTTCCTATTAGCACTTCTTAACCCTCAGCATACATAGGAATCTATTAGGGTTTTTGTTGAAATGCTAGTTCTGATTCAACAGGTCTGGAGTCTGCATTTCTAACCATGATGCCCAAGTAACATGGATGCTTCTAGTACTAGTACCACATTTTGAATAGCAAGCCCACTTTTAGACAAACCCATTTTTCAAAGAGCTGCCAGTCTTTCCCTTAAAGAACTGCTTTTTTTTTTTAACTCTTTTGCATTGAAAACTCTAAAGTGTCTTTCAGATTTCAAAATAAAAGACAGTATACAAACTTATACATTTGCTACCTCCCAAACCCCACTAATAAACCAATGTCTTTTTGATATAAACTCAAAAGATGGAAAAAAGAGTGAGACAAAAACAACAAACTAGAAGCTAGAAAATAAATGGACATGAGGTAGGTGTTAAACCCAGGAGAGATGACCCCTTGTTAGTCAGCAGGGAAAGCCAAGATGCTCTCATCACAGAATCTCTAGAAAGATTGGAACATTCAGAATTGCAAATATCTCTGGAGCTAGAGGGAGGGTCAAGCTGAGGCTAAGAGTGGTAGAGGACTGCTTAGGTCCTAATCCCGATGTTAGCCAGCCTCGTGACTCCTGTAGCTTCAGCAGTAACTGAAAGTTTATTCTCAGAAGAGAATTAAAACTCTGAGGGTCCAACCCCCTGACAGTATCTGAGTATCTGAGGTCAGAGGTCAGGGAGGCAGCTAAGAAGTTACACAGTGAACAGTGAGGTACCTGCATCCCAGACCTACACACTGAAATTCCAGGACACTGGCAGGTGTTTCCAACTCAAATGGTCTCTATGTTTCCCAGCCCAAAAAGGGAGGTCTGCAGATAAAAAGGAAACCACAACCTATTGATCTGACTAAAATTATGATGTAACTGTTGGGAGGAGGGGATGGAAAATGATAGATGGAGAAAAGAGTTAAATTCTCCTCACCAATGTAAAGTGTCAATAAATAATGCTAAAAACTAAACTCAGCAGTAGAAATATAAATATGTCATTTAGAGTGAAGGCATGCAATTACCAGCAAGAATCAACCAAGTGCAAGAATTGAAAGCAGTTGACTGGAGAACAGGAAGTGAGATGGGGGAAGGGCCTTTGAAGACATTTTAGAACATGTCTAAAATGTAGATCCATGTCTAAGTATAACTTCAATAAAAATTATCTTAATTTGTTAATACAGTTAATGCCCATGCTGTGTAGTTTTTTGTTTGTTTGTTTTTTGATGATGATGATGATGATTCAGGACATTAAAATAAGCATCACTGATGTCAGACCCACAGTGAAGCAGAATGTTGAAGACCTAGGCTCTGCAGACAGGATCTGGATTTGAATCTCCCCTAGGATAATAATAAGATTATTTTATAATAATTTAAGCAAGACATAGCTTTCTTTAAAGAGCTTAAGACATCTATGGCACCTAACATTCAATAATGGCAGTTCTTATTAAATTATATTAGGCCCTATCATAAATGCCTCCTGACTACTGTATTGATGTGGTGTCTTTCACTAGTTTGTATTTCATTCTTCTTGTCTCCTCCATCACCGTCACCAGCTGTCTTGAACTACAGGAATCACTGTGCTTTCTAAACCCTTCCGATATGTGTTTTCTAAATGACAAGTATGGTGATCAGGCACCTAGAAACCGAGTTTATGAGAACTGTGTCTAAAATGGAGAAAAACTGGGCATCTATTAATTCTCTGAATATCTCTCTATGAAGCAGAGTAGAAAGTTTCAACATGATAAATATCTAAATGATATAGAAAGTGGTATGGAGATTCCTTAAAAAAAATAAAAATATCTGGGCCCTCCCTAGTGGTGCAGTGGGTGAAAGCACAGATAAGAAACTAAAGCCACTTCAGCATGAGATTGATCCCCAACCCAAAGGTGACCCACATGGCGCAGAAGACCTCTCCTTACCTACCTGCTGCTCCCCTCAGCAGTGTACTTCATCAGTCAGCCTGTTCTGCTTCCCACTCTGTCTTTGGTGAAGCCTCTCACTGCCCCTGCACCTCTGACCTGTACCCCAGTTCTGTATGCCTAAATAAATAAATCTTTTAAAAAATAAATAAAAATAAAAATATCATATGATCCAGAAATATTACTCCTAGATGTTTATCAAACAATATGAAAACAAAAATATGAAAAGATTTATATTCTCCTACATTGATAGCAACATTCGTCACAATAGCCCCACCAAGGGAACAACATAAATGCCCATCGACAGATGACTAA